ACTGTGTGTTCCTAACTTACCCTGCCGATTTAGTTAATACCACTGGTACTGCGTGTCCCTAACTTACCCTGTCGGTTTAGTTAGTACCACTAGTACTGTATGTTCCTAACTTATCCTGTCGGTTTAGTTAATACTACTGGTACTGTGTATCCCTAACTTACCCTGTCGGTTTAGGTAGTACCACTGGTACTGTGTCCCTAATTTACCCAGTCGATTTAGTTAGTACCACTGGTACACGAGAACATAAGAAAGAAGGAACACTGCAACAGACCTACTGACCTATGCGAAGCAGGTCCATGCCACCCCCCGGCCTAGAACAATGACCACCCAGTCAGGTCACCTCCACTTAAGGAAGCAGCACGGCACCAGACCTGGTAGCCCAAGCTAGTCAGGTCCATTTCACACCCACCTACACCCACTCATGTATTTTTTTATTTTTTTTATTATCACACCGGCCGATTCCCACCAAGGCAGGGTGGCCCGAAAAAGAAAAACTTTCACCATCATTCACTCCATCACTGTCTTGCCAGAAGGGTGCTTTACACTACAGTTTTTAAACTGCAACATTAACACCCCTCCTTCAGAGTGCAGGCACTGTACTTCCCATCTCCAGGACTCAAGTCCGGCCTGCCAGTTTCCCTGAACCCCTTCATAAATGTTACTTTGCTCACACTCCAACAGCACGTCAAGTATTAAAAACCATTTGTCTCCATTCACTCCTATCAAACACGCTCACGCATGCCTGCTGGAAGTCCAAGCCCCTCGCACACAAAACCTCCTTTACCCCCTCCCTCCAACCCTTCCTAGGCCGACCCCTACCCCGCCTTCCTTCCACTACAGACTGATACACTCTTGAAGTCATTCTGTTTCGCTCCATTCTCTCTACATGTCCGAACCACCTCAACAAAACTTCCTCAGCCCTCTGGACAACAGTTTTGGTAATCCCGCACCTCCTCCTAACCTCCAAACTACGAATTCTCTGCATTATATTCACACCACACATTGCCCTCAGACATGACATCTCCACTGCCTCCAGCCTTCTCCTCCAATCTATTTTTAAAACTACACAAGGTCTTAGCTTCTATGACGGTACTCGGGAGTTTGTTCCACTCATCCATAACTCTATTACCAAACCAGTCCTTTCCTATATCCTTCCTGAATCCGAATTTTTCCAACTTGAAACCATTGCTACGAGTCCTGTCTTGGCTGGAAATTTTCAGCACGCTATTTACTTCCCTTTATTTTTTCCTGTTTTCCATTTATACACCTCAATCATATCCCCCCTAATTCTACGCCTTTCTAGAGAGTGCAGATTCAGGGCCCTCAGTCTATCCTCATAGAGAAGATTTCTGATACATGGGATCAACTTTGTCATTCTCCTCTGTACGTTTTCCAGAGCATTTATATCCATTCTGTAATACGGTGACCAAAACTGAGCAGCATAGTCTAAATGAGGCCTAACCAAGGATATATAGAGTTGAAGAACAACCTGAGGACTTCTATTATTTATATTTCTTGATATGAAGCCAAGAATTCTGTTAGCTTTACTTCGAACACTTATGCACTGTTGTCTTGGTTTCAGATTACTACTAACCAGAACTCCTAAATCCTTTTCGCAGTCAGTAGTATTAAGATCTACACTATTCAGTTTATAAGTGGCATGGTTATTGTCCTGTCAAACACTTTGCATTTGTCTATATTAAACTGCATCTGCCACTTCTCCGACCACTGCATCAATCTATTCAAATCATCCTGGAGTGCAGTAATGTCCTCAATAGAATGAATTGGACGGCCTATTTTGGTGTCATCAGCAAATTTGCTTATGTCGCTATTTATTCCCTCATCTATATCGTTTATGTAAATTGTGATCAACAATGGGCCCAGCACTGACCTCTGCTGAACACTGCTTGTGACGTGCTCCATTCTGATTTCTCCCCATTTAGGCAAACTCTTTGCTGTCTATTTGTCAACCACTCTACCCAGGAAAAAATTCTCCTATTCCGTTTGCTTTTAGTTTCCTCAAAAGTCTCTGATGCAGAACTGTATCGAAAGCCTTACTGAAGTCCATATACACAATATCATATTCATTACCATGATCTACCTCCTCAAACACCTTAGTGAAAAAAGTTAGTAAATTCGTAAGACAGGAACGCCCCTTTGTAAAACCGTGTTGAGATTCATTTATTAATTTATGCCTATCAAGATGGCTACGAATTGCCTCGGCAATTACTGATTCCATAAATTTTCTCACTGTGGAGCTAAGGCTTAATGGTCTATAGTTCGAAGCTAAGGACTTGTCACCTGCCTTGTAAATAGGTGTTACATTTGCCATTTTCGACTTATCAGGCACTATGCCAGTTTGTAGTGATATGTTGAAAAGATTAACCAAAGGGATGCAAAGTTCCTGGTTACATTCCTTTAAAACCCTTGAAAACAATTCATCACGGCCTGGGGATTTGTTAGGTGTTAATTTCTCTATTTGTCTGAGGACCATGTCACTAGTTACTGCAATCATGCATAGTTTATTATCATCTTTTTCTACATAATTTATTATTTCTGGAATTTCGCTAGTATCTTCCTGAGTAAAAACTTAGAGGAAGTAAGAATTGAAAATTTCACACATATTCCTATCACTGTCAGTGATCTGACCTGAGTTACTCTTAAGTGGGCCTATCTTGTCTCTAATCTTACTTTTGTATACCTTAAAGAACCCTCTCGGGTTAGTCTTCGAATCCCTTGCGACCTTAGCCTCATAATCCCTTTTTGCTTTTCTTATTCCTCTTTTTATTTCTCTCTTCAATTGAATATATTGATTTCTTAACTGCCCATCCCCTCTTTTGATACGCCTATATAAGCCTCTCTTTTGACCAGTGAGATGTTTTAATCTATTGTTCATCCATTTGGGACCATTTTTGTTAGATCTAATTTCCCTACTCAGAACAAAAGTTGACTTAGCAGCTAGAACTATGCTCTGTAAAACGTCATATTGGCAACCCACACCAGCTACCTGACCCATAGTCAGATCATCCCAATTTAGCCCACCCAGGTAATTTTTCAGTCCCATGAAATCAGTCAATCGAAAGTCTGAGACAGAGACTTGACTGCAGTTTACTGGGTAATTCCATAATACTATATTGAAACTAAGTGATTTGTGATCACTTTCCCCAAGTTCATCATTAACCTCAAGATTATTAATTAGCGAATCTTTGTTGGCAAGAACCAAGTCAAGCAGATTGTTTCCTCTAGTTGGTTATGTCAAAAACTGTTTTAAAAAGCAATCCTGAACTGTATCAAGAAAGTCGCTAGACTCAAGATTTCTTGTCAAATTGTTCCAATTCATTTGTTTAAAGTTAAAATCCCCAGTTAACACAACATTTTCATATCTAGATGCCTTATGAATTTCGTCCCATAGCAGTTTACTGCCCTCCCTATCAAGGTCTGGAGGCCTATATATCACACCTAAAATTAACTTTTCATACCTTTCGAGAAACTGTAGCCAAACAGACTCTGTGTCCGATGTTTCTGTTCTTATATCATGTCTAACATAACAATTTAAATTATCTGACATACATCGCCACGCCACCACCCTTCCTGTTGACCCTGTAAGTGTGGAATAGTTTATAATCCTTTATGCTGCATTCAGAAGGCATTTCTCTATCCTTCAAGTTGAACCTGCACTTGCGAGTAATCTTAGCTCATCTATTTTATTTCTTAGACTCCTACTATTTGTATAGTAAACCTTAAGGGAGCTAGTTACCTGGTGCCCTCTACTATCTCTCTTTGTTGATCAGTTACTTTGCCTTTATTAGGAACTTTATTTTGAATATTGTCTTTTAAACATATCCCTGAGGTATCCTGGTAATGTCTGCTGTTTCCAACAATTTCCAACTGTTTCCAACTGCAGCCTGACTGTTTCCCATAAACACCCATACCTTTATAATTTATCAGTTTAAAGTCCTAGACAAGTCATCAATTACCCCCTCAATCGAATTGGCTAATGCAACCACTCCAGCCCCGGAGAGATGAACCCCATCCTTTGCATACGTATAATGTTTGCCATAGAATTTGTCCCAGTTATCAATGAATGGGATTGCAAGTTCCTTGCAGTACTGTCCAGCCAGCAATTTATACCAGTTGCCCTAGACATTCATTCATTGCCCAGACATCCTTCTAGGCAAGATGCTTCATATGATAGGGATCCCTCCCTGTGACCTGACTTCTATGGCTGACCTGTACTTATCCCGCCCTTCCCAATGTTATTTCCACCAGCACTAAGACAGATAATGGGCTTGTTCCCATTACCTGACATAATATTATCTAACCTGCTGACTATGTCGCCAACATCAGCTCCTGGAAGGCACACTCTCTGTCTGACCTTTCTGTCTCTGTTACAAAAGCACAGTCCATATATCTTACCTGAGAGTCTCCCACAATCAGAATATTCTTACCTTGATTAGCAGGGGAGTCAGAGGTACCTTTAACCTCACTAACACTGAAGTGTACTCATCTTGGAGAACAGATAATCGATTTCCTACCTTCATATCTTCTTTATTAACCCTCCTTATCTTCCTTCTTCCTGAACTGTGAACCACTTGCCACTTAAAGCGGCTGCCACTCTCGGTTAAGTTAGTACCACTGGTACTATGAGTTCCTAACTTACCCTGTCGGTTTAGGTAGTACCACTGGTACTGTGTGTTCCTAACTTACCCTGTCGGTTTAGGTAGTACCACTGGTACTGTGTGTCCCTAACTTGCCCTGTCGATTTAGTTAGTACCAATGGTACTGTGTGTTCCTAACTTACCCTGTCGGTTTAGTTAGCGCAACTGGTACTGTGTGTTCCTAACTTACCCTGCCCTTGAACTCCGAACCCTGCCATTTGTTTACCCCTAGCTACAAGCCCTGCCACTAAACCTCAAGACTTGCCCTTCCGCTCAGATTAGGTACAGATACCCACTACCTGACCTCTTATCCCCAAACCCAGATTAAGGAGATGCACCCACCACCTCGTGGAGGATTTCGTCGGGGACGTTCCTGGGGTTGTCGCAGAGGGCGCGGGAGGAGGAGTGAGAGAAGATGATGGGCGCCTGTGTGGTGGCTAGGGTATCCCTCATAGTCTGCGTGGAGACGTGAGACAGATCCACCATCATGCCCAAACGGTTCATCTCTTGCACCACCTTCTGCAGGAGACAAGTGAACACAGACTGTATTATAGCGCTCTGGCAGAGGCAAGGAGAAAAAGGAAGGGGTAAATCACAATAGCTTTTTTATTAAAACTAACGAAAAAAACAATGGTTCGGTTGCAATAAATATTAAAAGCAAATTCACGAACATCGTGTTTATCCCCGGCTGAGAGGTCGCTACAGCCTGAGCCGACAGTAACTAAAGTGGGGCACCCTGACTTACCATGTTAATGTGTTCCAGAAAATTCAAGTTGATTGCTCGCTACTCGGAACCAATTTTCAAATAGGAAATAACGTAAAATGAATTAATGCGTCCCAAGACATTATTACGTATCTAATTTCAGTTATTTTTTTAATGTCTTTTTCCAATATGTTACATTTAGTGCAATTTATTTTTCACTTACACACAGAGAATGAGAGAGTGTGAGTGTGAGGGTGGTGTGGGTGTGAGGGTGGTGTGGGTGTGAGGGTGGGTGGGTGTGAGGGTGGTGTGAGTGTGAGGGTTGGTGTGGGGTGTGAGGGTGGTGGTGGAGTGTGAGTGGTGGTGTGGTGTGAGGGTGGTGTGAGTGTGAGGGTGGTGTGAGTGTGAGGGTGGTGTGGAGTGTGGGGGGTGGTGTGAGTGTGAGGGTGGTGTGAGTGTGAGGGTGGTGTGAGTGTGAGGGTGGTGTGAGTGTGAGGGTGGTGTGGAGTGTGAGGGTGGTGTGGGTGTGAGGGTGGTGTGGTGTGAGGGTGGTGTGAGTGTGATGGGTGGTGTGGGTGTGAGGGTGGTGTGGGTGTGAGGGTGGTGTGGGTGTGAGGGTGGTGTGAGTGTGAGGTGTGGTGTGGGTGTGAGGGTGGTGTGGGTGATGAGGGTGGTGTGGTGTGAGGGTGGTGTGGTGTGAGGGTGGTGTGAGTGTGAGGGTGGTGTAGGTGTGAGGGTGGTGTGGGTGTGAGGGTGGTGTGTGGGTGAGGGTGGTGTGGGTGTGAGGGGGGGTGTGAGTGTGAGGGTGGTGTGGGTGTGAGGGTGGTGTGGGTGTGAGGGTGGTGTGGGTGGGAGGGTGGTGTGGGTGTGAGGGTGGTGTGGGTGTGAGGGTGGTGTGAGTGTGAGGGTGGTGTGGGTGTGAGGGTGGTGTGGGTGTGAGGGTGGTGTGGTGTGGGGGTGGTGTGAGTGCGAGGGTGGTGTGAGTGCGAGGGTGGTGTGGGTGTGAGGGTGGTGTGAGTGCGAGGGTGGTGTGGTGCGAGGGTGGTGTGAGTGTGAGGGTGGTGTGAGTGCGAGGGTGGTGTGAGTGCGAGGGTGGTGTGGGTGTGAGGGGGGTGTGGGTGTGAGACTGGTGTGAGTGTGGGAGTGGTGTGGGTGTGAGGGTGGTGTGAGTGCGAGGGTGGTGTGAGTGTGAGGGTGGTGTGAGTGCGAGGGTGGTGTGGGTGTGAGGGGGGTGGGGTGTGAGAGTGGTTGGGGAGTGTAGGGTGGTGTGGGGTGTGAGGTGTGGGGTGAGTGCGAGGGTGGTGTGGGTGTGAGGGTGGTGTGAGTGTGAGGGTGGTGTGAGTGTGGGGTGGTGTGAGTGCGAGGGTGGTGTGAGTGCGAGGGTGGTGTGGGTGTGAGGGTGGTGTGAGTGCGAGGGTGGTGTGGGTGTGAGGGTGGTGTGAGTGTAGGGGTGGTTGGAGTGCGAGGGTGATGTGAGTGCGAGGGTGGTGTGAGTGTGAGGGTGGTGTGAGTGTGAGGGTGGTGTGAGTGCGAGGGTGGTGTGGGTGTGAGGGTGGTGTGAGTGCGAGGGGTGGGGTGGAGTGCGAGGGTGGTGTGATGTGCGAGGGTGGTGTGAGTGTGAGGGTGGTGTGAGTGCGAGGGTGGTGTGGGTGTGAGGGGGTGTGGGTGTGAGGTGGGTGTGAGTGTGGGGTGGTGTGGGTGTGAGGGTGGGTGAGTGCGAGGGTGGTGTTAGTGTGAGGGTGGTGTGGGTGTAAACGTGCTGTGAGTGTGAAGGTGGTGTGGGTGTGAGGATATTGGGGTGTGAGGGGGTGGGGGTGTGAGGGTACTGTGAGTGTGAGGGTGGTATGGGTATGAGGATGGTGTGGGTGTGAGGGTGGTGTGGGGGGAGGGTGGTGTGGGTGTGGGGTTGGTGTGAGCGTGAGGGTCGTGTGGGGGTGAAAATGATGTGAGATGTGAGGGTGGTGTGGGTGTGAGGGTGGTGTGGGTGTGAGGATGGAGTGAGTGTGAGGGTCGTGTGGGGGTGAAAATGATGTGTGGTGTGAGGGTGGTGTGGGTGTGAGGGTGGTGTGGGTGAGAAGATGCTGTGGGGTGTGACGGTTGGGGTGTGGATGTGAGGACTGTGTGCAAAAGGAGCGTTGTGTGTGGGTCGAGTGGGTGTGAGAGGGGTGTGCGTGTGAGAGTAGTGCTAATAAGGTAGGGCGGGTGTAAGGGTGGTTGTGGAGCTGTGAGAGTGGTGTTAATAAGAGAATGGTGTGGGTGTAAGGGTGGTGTGGGTATAAGGGTGGTGTGGGTGTGAGGGTGGTGTGGGTGTGAGAGTGGTGTTAATCAGAGGATGAAGTGGGTGTGAGATTGGTGTGGGTATGGGAATGGTGTGGGTGTGAGGGTGGTGTGGGTGTTAGGGGTGGAGTGGGTGTGGAGGGTGGTGTTGGTGTTAGGGGTGGAGTGGGTGTGAGGGTGGTGTTGGTGTGAGGGTGGTGTGGGTGTTAGGGGCGACGTGTGTGTGAGGGTGGTGTTGGTGTTAGGGGTGGAGTGGGTGTGAAGGTGTTGTGGGACGGTGATTGGGTGGGTGAGCAGCCTGTGAGAGAGTGTTGTCACTGTGTTGTCAGAGTTGTGCTTTATCTTAGTTCAACTGTTTACTGAACACCACGACACAGCTAGTAGTGCTGATCATCCACGACACAGCTAGTTATGCTGATCATTCACGACACAGCTAGTAGTGCTGATTATCCACGACACAGCTAGTTGTGCTGATCATCCACGACACAGCTAGTAGTGCTGATCATCCACGACACAGCTAGTTGTGCTGATCATCCACGACACAGCTAGCAGTGCTGATCATCCACGACACTGCTAGCAGTACTGATTATCCACGACACAGCTAGTAGTTCTGATCATCCACAACACTGCTAGCATGCTTACCCTCTTCGACACAGCTAGCAGTGCTGATCATCCACGACAAAGCTAGCAGTGTTGGTCATTCATGACACAGATAGCAGTGTTGGTCATTCATGACACAGATAGCAGTGTTGACCGAGGGTCCTCCTGGCGAACAGGTCAACAGCCAACCCACCTACCTCCACCAGCCCCCCCATCCCAAAGATCCTCCGGCCCCCAAGACCCCCCCCCCAAAGATCTCCCTTTCCACTAACCACTGATATACAAACGCAATGTAAATATTGAAGCTTTAGTTCCTGGCCAATCTTTACCAAATAAATATGAGTTTTCCATACTTGCATAACACGAACATAAAGTTTAGATGTATTTGATTAAAAACTAACAGAGAAGAATATATTTTTTTTTATAATTCCTACTAATGAAAATAACAATAACTGTCCCGATGTCGGGAAAAATATGGTTATTTTCAAGAGACAAAACAGGATGTAAGAATTATAGGGGAATAAGCCTGTTGAGTATACCTGGTAAGGTGTATGGTAGAGTTATCATTGAAAGAATTAGGGACAAGATGGAAAGCAGGACGGAAGATGAACAAGGAGGCTTTAGAAAGGGTAGGGAATGTGTAGACCAAGTGTTTACATTGAAGCATGTAAGTGAACAGTATTTAGATAAGGCTAAAGAAGTTTTCGTTGCATTGATGTATAGGAAAGTACTGTAGCAGATGTTTGCAAGTATATAGAATATTTGGTAGGTTACTGAGAAAAGTTAAGTTTTTATGAGGATAGTGAGGTACTGGTTAGGGTATGAAGGAAAGACGGAGATTATTTTCCAGTAAAACTAGGCCTTAGACAAGGTTGTAAGAGAAGATAATGCAGGAGTGCTGGGCAGAGGTGTGGGACTGGAAGATAAAAAGTATCTAACACAACATGGATGTTATCACAGTTGCTTTTGGTGGATTCTGATGAAAAGTTGCAAAGGTTGATGGACGAATTTGGAAGGATTTGTAAAAGAAGAAAATTAAAAGTGAACATAGGAAAATTCAAAGTGGTGAGGGTAACACAAAATCTAAGAAATGAAAATTTGGATTTCAGAATGGAGGGAGTGAAAGTGTTCAGATATTTGGAAATGGACTTGGCTCCGGATGAGTATGTGAAAAACGACGTGAACCATCATGGAAAAGGTGGTGAGTGAAGCACTGAGTCTGTAGAGACAAAGAAAGTTATCCATGGAAACAAAAAAGGGAATGTATATGGATGGATGTATATGGGTGTGAAGCATGGATTGTGAATGTTATAGTAAGGAAGAGGCTGGAAGCAGTGGAGGGCAATGTGTGGGGTGAATATTATGTATGGGGATTAGGAGGTTTACCTGGAGTTTACCTGAAGAGGGTTTCGGGGGTCAACGCCCCCGGGGCCCGGTCTGAGACCAGGCATCATGAAATATTATCCACAGGGCTGAAGAAAGGTTGTTGAGGTGGTTTGGACATTTGGAGAGGATGGAATAAAATATAATGACTTGAAGGATTTATAAATCTGTAGTGGAGGGAAAGCGGTGTAGGGGTCATCTAAGGAAAGGTTGGAGGGACGGGGTAAAGGAAGTTTTGTGTGCGAGGGGTTTAGACATCCAGGGTGTTAGGAGTGGAGGCAAGTTGTTTTTATGACTTCACATGCTGTTGGAGTATGAGCAATGTAACATTTAGGAAAGGATTCAGGGAAACCAGTTAGCCAGACTTGAGCCCTGGAGGTGGGAAGTACAATGCCTGCAGTCTGTAGGAAAGGTGGGGATATTTGCAGTTTTGAACTGTCATATTGGCGTCCCTCTTGTGTCAACAAGGTGCTGGCAACATTCCTTAGAGATAATGATTCATGATAGCATCACGCAGTGGCTGCAGATTTGAACATTAAAATGGTATAAAATACCG